GGGGGGGGGAGAAGGGGGGAGGAGGGGAAAGGATCAAGAAATCTAGCACACAAAATTTAACCAACTTTAATAGATTGTATAATACAAAATATTAGTAGAATCTGTTGGCAGAGTCCTTAATTAAATGCCTCGGCAGTGCTACCAAGTACAGTCTTTTCTCTTATTTCCGTGAATGTGGACAACAAGTCACTACAGCAGCTGAAATCCTGCTTGTTCTCTTTCACTGAAGTGTGGTCCCTGCTCAGTGAAGTGATAGAAACTCTTGATAAGCTGCTGATCCACTGGACCACCAATCTCTCAAGTTCCACCTCTTCTCTTTGGAGGCTGCTTGTGGCTTGGAAAGATCCGTGCTGTTGAAGAGAGCACTGCCAGTGATCAGGGCTGCTTTTTACATGCCTCTCAGAAAGCTTGTCAGTGTCCTTGTGCACATTTGGTAGTTGCACTTTGCTGCTGCAGGGCTGGTCAAGATGCTACCCTGCCTGGCATCAAAGCCCTTGTGAGAAAGTAACTTCTTAAAGGCAAGGTGTCTTCAGGGCCAAATGAAAATTCTTGTAAAGAGCAGTATAAAATGCAAATATATTTTCATAAAGGTGTTCTGAAAGAAGAAAGAAAGACAGACCTGTCTAGAAGTTATTTAGTTATTGCATGTAGCTTGCTATCTTTTTTAAAAAAATAATGCATATGTTTGTCATTTTTTTTGCTGAAATTACCCAATTTCTGCTTATTCTGATATGGTTACCCATTTTAAAAGCATATACAAAGTCCAGAAATTAACTGATACACAGGGTCTTCAGAAAGAGTATGCAGCTGAAAATCTAGTAAATTAGAAGTTGTGGTATACTTTTGTTATACTTCCCATGTGGATGTAGTTCAAAAGTCGTGCTTAACATAACAAAACTGAATAACTTAAAACAAGTGGTTTGATGAGCAAAGATTTCCCTATTTCACTTCCTTCTTTCACAAGCACTTAGCAATGTAAAATCTCTTCAGGCTGTTTAAAAAAAATTTGCTTCTTTGGAAATATTGTCTAAAAGGCTATCTAGAGGAGCTAGGGAACAGAAATTGCCCTGCTGGATAAGAACAGCAATAAAAATACTTGCTTTTAATTTCCTGTGTCCTGGAAACCAAGATCATAGGTCTTATGGGAAATATAAGAGATGTTAGGACAACTTGGACTAAATCAGCTAATAGTGAGATTATTCTATGATCTTAAGCACATGAGTGTCCCCATATTTATTTCATTTTTTCTATGTTTGAGTGCTTTGCAGGTTCTGAGCTCTGAGGGGAAGGTCAGTCATAGCTGACCATCAGTCTTACTAATTATGGACATTTTCATTCTCTGTAACACTGCTAAATGGCAAAAAAAACCCTATTGTTATAGCCCCCAAATGATGCCTACTACTAAAACAAATAAGTGATGCTCTATACCTTTGACTCTGTAGAGCAGTGAATATTTTTATTTGTCCGTGTTTAGATAATTTAAATGTCAATAGCATATGATTATCTCTAAAAGGATCTGGTTCAACCCTGTTCAGAAATCATTTTCACACCTCCAAGGCTGTTGTGGTTTTGCAGCCATTACAATTGCATTCATTTCATGCTTTAATTTTTTTTTCTCTTACATAGGCTAGAAATACGGACAGCAAAATCACAGCACTAAAAAGCTAAAACCCTGTTGACTTTCTGTCTGTATTTGACCTAAGCTGTTTAAAGCTCCATGTGCAATATTTTATTTTTAAAACATTGAAAACACAGTTATTTTCTGATCAATTATATGTCATTATATTAGCTTTTTAGTACAACTAGCATATAAAAGAGCAGTTGATTTGAGAGCCTTCTGAGGCATAAAACTCTCAAGTCGCTTAGGTATCAACATCTAGTAGTTTAAACTATGATGGGAAAAATCCAAGAGGTTGGTACAGAGCCATACACAAAGGAAAATATACCTTGAAATATCAGTCTTTTCTAAATATATAGTTTTCCCATACCACTTGTAAAGATTCTGTATCACAGACCTCAGTAATTTAGCACTATTTACAGAGATACACAACCAAGCTAGTAAAAGATGTAACAGACTGATTTTAAATGAGTGAGTTATCTTGTGTAAGGTTCAGTCAAGGGATGTTTCCAAGGAACCAGTGTAAATTTCTAACCTCTGATTCACTTCAAAACACTAGTTTATGAGCCTGCTAACTTAGGCACTCAGCATTTCTGTGGCTTTGGGACCTACAGTACAAACCTATGTTTTTGCATTGACAAAAAGAAGATAACTCTTTTATTCCTTACAGAATCCCACATTAGCATATCTAGGAAGCTAACTTGATACATTATTTTCATTTATGTATAAATACCCAAGTGGATGCTTGCAGCTTCCTTGGAGCCAATATCCAGGACATATTCTGAAGGCTTTAATCACAGACTTGATTTCAGAAAAGTCAATTCCACTTTTTCACTAGACACAACTTACAATGCAGCAGAAACTTCTTGTTCTCCAGTAGATTGTGTGTAGGTGGAGCTACCCCGTTCAGCTGTGTCAACATAGAAAACAGGACAGTATTTGGAGAAGTGGAATGCAATCTGCTTTCGGAAAAAGCTATGAAGATACTTCCTAAATTTTTCTCCAACAAAGGCATAAATTATAGGGTTGATGCAACAATGAATCATTGAGATTGTTTCTGTCACTTGGGTTGCTTTATGCAGTTGACTGTTGCCTTCACATGTACTGATGGAAAATGTACCTTGAAAATCACGCAAGAGAATGCAAATGTTGTATGGTGTCCAGAAGAAAAAATAGACAATCATGATGATAAAAATAAGCCTGACAGCTTTATGTTTTTTCTCATTCCTACACTGCAGTAATGTCTTTATAATCTGTGTGTAGCTGCAGATCATAATTAACATTGGAATAACAAGTCCCAGGATGTTCATTTTTAAGGCCAGGAATTGCTTCCATACATCTCTCTGCTCTGGTGGATAGTGAGCACTGCAAGTGTAACGTGAATTTTCCTTTTCGGTTTTGTGAAATACTACCCCAGGAACAGAAGCAAAAATAGCCACAGCCCACGTGACAGCACTGGTGAGGATGCCGTAGGTCACTGTCCTGGCTTTTAAAGCAAACACTGCATGCACTATGGCCAGGTACCTGTCCAGGGTCAGCAGGATTATGAAGAAGATCCCGCTGTAGAAGCCCAGCAGGTAGACACCTGAGAGAATTCTACACAGCGCCTCCCCAAAAATCCAGTCATGAGCAGCATAGTAGGCCCAAAAAGGGAGAGAAAATATGAACAGCAAATCAGAAATTGCCAAATTGAGGAGGTAGATGTCAGTCATACTCTTCATTCTCTTGTATTTTACCAGGATAAGGATAACAAGCATGTTGCCTGTGAGTCCAAAGATCACCACCAAGGAATAAAGGGGTGGCAGAAATTTTGCTGCAAAGTGCTTTTCGTCAGTTCCCAAGCAAGGAGCTGAATCGCCGTAGTCAAATTCTGTTGTCAGTGGCACCTCATCTAAGTCCATGGTGTGGTTTTCCATGGTGTGTTGGTCTGGAAGGGAAGAAAGAGATGTTAAAGTAGAGGAAAGTCCAAGCTTGGCAGTGAGGGGAATTCAAGGTGCTGATGCCCTCATCAGGTGTGTGCTTTGCGCTTGCACACATACGCTACGTCAAGGTGTAGCCGAGAATTAAATTGTAGAACTCCCAGGAAACCCGTCTAGGTACCTATGAAGTGACTTTGCTGCATGTTGGAGGTTTGCTGCATGTCATTTCCCACATGTACGCTGTCTGGTGCATGTTTCCTCCTCAGGATAGCCTGTCAGCTGCCTGACCTCACCAGAAGCAGGGGAATGATGAATTTAACCTGAGCAGTGGATGGTTCAGGGCTGTTGTGCTCAGCAGGGATTTTCCAAGGGGATGGAGAGAGCCAGCAAGGCAGCATCAGGAAAACAGGAACATGGCAGCCCATGCTGTAGCCCTCACCCAAGAGGACCAGGCACTGGCAAGATGTAAATCAGTGCCTTCAGAAGTGCTGTGACATGGGTAGAAGAAACTGGCTGCTGCTCATTCTGGTTGTTGCTGACTTCCTGGGAGCCTGAATGCCTATGGGAATCAGGTCACCAGAGGTGTGGAAACGACCCTTGCACAGCACTAAACATACCCACCTGTTGGACCTGCTGTCCTGGGTGTTGCAGAGCAGCAAGTCAACAATGTTGGTCTGGGTTAAAATGGCAAATGTTGTGTCCTTTACAGAGTGTGGGTCAGGCGTAGGCCATGGAAGTGTGCTGGTCTTAGGTAGTTCTGGAAGGAAAAGGGTGTGCAGTCCTGTGGAAAGAATGGGTAGGCAAACACCTTGGTAAATGGCATAAAAAATGACAGTTAGAAATCTGATTTTTGTAAACAAGTGATTCTGCTTTTGCAAGAATCTTTTTTCCTGCCCTTTCCACAAGTTCTTCCTGAGTCTAGTTGTCAGCTCTGTTCCTAACACTATCAAGAATGAGAACATCCATGTCTGGACATTGCTTTGGCACACTGATTATGGCATGAAACTTTCTTCTGCAGAATAAGGAGTAAAAGAAAATGAGCAAGTTTTAACAGTTTGGGTCTTGGCCTTGTCTAGATACAATTTCTTGGGGATGAAATAAGTACTGTCAAGCTCCTCAAAGACCAGCTTTTGAAGAAACTTTTGCAATCTCTGTGAAACAGGTTTTTTTTCTGCAGCCAAAGTAGCTACATAGTTAACTCAATATTGATGCAACAGTTCTGTTGTTAAAGGAAGTGGCTGTGGCTCAGGTGTATTGACAGTAACTAAGCTGATTTTGAAGTATCTAAGGGTTTATATTTCTTAAGCACTTCAGCAACTCTTTTAGAAAAAGAAAAAAGCACCTTTATAAAACACTCTTTAATCAGAAACATCAACTTCTTTATTTCAAAACACAAAAAGACTTGGACACTGCACAAATATTTAGTACTCCCTTCAGCTAGATCTGCTAGATCTGTGTTGCATGCCCTGACAGTATAAGTGTCTGGTATTATATATAGCTAAATATTCCCATTTCTGATGTGTCAGTCAGCCATGCTGTGTGCTGGGATTAGGGGATGAGGGACTGGCTGCAACACAGTGCCAGACCCAGGACATCCTGTCTTGATCATTTTGCACCTGCACAATGCTCATGCACAAACATGGTATGAAAAATACCTGGGTCGTAAACCCAGAATGGGATTTTATGAGTGTGTGATTTATAGGATTCATGGAGATATTGCAAATTTCTGTCTCGATATTATTGTGGTTAATTATTTTTGCGACAGCCCCTTATTCCTGCTAACTTCTGTCTCAGTGCCTTCCCTCCTTTTCCTCTGCCTTCTTGCAATGACAATCATGTATTCCCTGTATCTTCTCCCTTTCAACCCATTTTGCATGCTTAAATGTTCATCTCCCTTCAGAGCAGTTCCTTCTGCTGAGCCTCATTCCCCCAGCTTAGCCTTTGCTTCAGAAGCTGCTCCCTGCAAATGTGCTTACTACCCTGAACTGTGTATAGTATCCAGTGCATGCTGGCAATGGAAACTACAGATACTAATTTTGAACCCAAAACATTTTAAGAGGTTTTGTGCTTTATACTATAATCTCACTGGTTTAGGAAAG